TGTTTCTCTCTTGGTGTGACCGGTGGCAGTATCGATCAGCAATGCCGCACAGACTTTTGCGCGCCGAAATATGCGTGCGACAGCTTTAACCTAACCACTTCGGTGGAAAGCGGATTTCTGTTCAATACGGTGTCAGGGGTACCAGGGAAGACGGGGCCGAGTTTTGTTTGATTTCGGGTGGATGAGGTTGGGGTTTTGTTCGTTTTTCTCCATCTAAGGTTCGTGTCTAGAGTTCAGCTGTAGTGTTTCGACAAAAATTTTGTTGACTTAGAGGCAAACATTCCTAGCTATTGGGCATCGAGCTAATTTGGCTTGGCATGACGGCCTTTACGATCGACTTTTTGTGTATGTCTGCATTTATCTGCAATTGTCGGAGGGCAAACAAAATAATAATAATAAATAATAATAATAGGTTGTTCCCAATGGACACAACCTACCACCGTGGCTACCGGTCCTGTGTTAGTGATGGACACAGGATAATGGTAGTAGAAAATACCCCAAGTCTAAAAATAGTAATGCTAGCTGCTAGAGATGATCGAAATGCATCAATCATTCAATTTTCGTACTGGGCTATCATGATGACAGCTAGGGTACTAGAAAAATTTCCCATGGTCATGATCGCGTGACATGCCATGTGTGGGGATGATGTGGGGTAGACTTGTAATGAGGTGAACCTCTGGCAAGTCCGCCTAGGCATCATAAACAAGATCTTGGGATAACGGTGGCTAAAAAAAATTTATCCTCCTCGCCAGTGTTTTCCCAGACACTGATAGAATAGGTTGTTCCCAATGGACACAACCTACCACCGTGGCTACCGGTCCTGTGTTAGTGATGGACACAGGATAATAGTAGCGGAAAAATATCCCAAGTCTAAAATTAGAAATAATGGTAGCTGTTAGAAATGATCGAAATGCATCAATCATTCAATTTTCGGGCCCTAGTTCGTTTTCGTTTGGTAGTACGACGGGGCAATGTAACATCACCTAGGGTCGTAGCCGAACGCGACTGGGGTAATGGCAGCTTCCTTGGACACTTCTCCGTCGTTTGTTAGTTTTGCTGGGTGGCTCAGAATCACTGTGCACAACCAATTTCGAGGTGAAGTTTCTTCAGGATTAATTGCCTGCCTCCGTTTTCGTTTCCTGGTTTCACTGNTAGCCGAACGCGACTGGGGTAATGGCAGCTTCCTTGGACACTTCTCCGTCGTTTGTTAGTTTTGCTGGGTGGCTCAGAATCACTTTGCACAACCAATTTTCGAGGTGAAGCTTCTTCAGGATTAATTGCCTGCCTCCGTTTTCGTTTCCTGGTTTCACTGAGTGATATTGGATCTCCCTGTTTAACTGGGGCACGAGACGCAGATTTATCAGGCGCGCGATGTCCAAACCACAACGGATTCGGTAGGCAGCTAGCTATCATTTCTTGACATAGTGTGGAATTTCGTCTGCTCTGTACATAAGATCCGACTCAGGGCCGTATCCACGAAGACGCAAACGATACTACTTGTAGTTGTACGGGGTTTTCGACCCCCTACCACTTTTATGGCTTACCACTTGGTCAACGATGAAGGACTTTTAACAACATATTCGCCTGATTGAGAGCGTAGCATCTGATTGAGAGCGAGATGGTGGCGTTTTCCTCGCATAATACCGTTTAATATGGGCTAAATGGACCGAAACTTCGCGAGTTTCATTCGGGCGTCTCACTCTATATACCACAGGTGATAATTGGGAGCAGATGACGTAAGGCCCACGCCACGGTAATAACAGCTTCGGATTTGGTCCATCCGAATCCTGTTAGGGTCGGTACACAAGTACTAAATCGCCAGGTTTGAACACAGGGATAGGATGTAGTTTAGCATCCTTGGCAGCTTGTTGTTGTGAGCGTTCCGACAAGTTACGGCGCGCTAGTTCAAACGAAAACTGTAGATTTTCCCGTGTCGTTTTAGAAAAATCTTCGGTATTTGCTGTTGTTCCTTCATGAGGAATACCGAGAATAATGTCAACTGGTAGACGTGGCTTGCGACCAAACATAAGAAAAAACGGCGTTTCGTGCATGGTGGAGCTAAAAGCTGTGTTGTAGGCCAGCTGAACAAAAGGCAGCAGTGATGCCCAGTTACCGCGGCTCATGGAACTATGCAATGCAAGCATTGCATGCATGGTTGCATGTACTCGTTCTGAAACGGAATTACCCTGAGGACGATATGGGGTCGTGCGGGTCATTTTATAGTTCAGAATCCGCTGTAGTTGCTGGACTACACTGTTTTCAAACTCAGGACCTTGGTCGGAATGCAAAATTTCAGGCGATCCAAAGATGCCAATGATGCGGTCGATAATGGCCTGCGCGACAGTGACTGCTGACTTACTGGGAATTGGAGTCAACACGGTGAATCGGGTTATAGGTGGTCCATCATGGATAGGACGTATTTGCACCGTACCCCGGCGGCTGAAACTGATTCCACTTTATATTCGTCGACTAGATCAACCGAAATACGTTCAAACGGCCTTTGTACAGGTACATGTATGTCCCGTTGGTAATTTGTTTCGATTGTGGGCCGTTTTACGACGTTGACAGGCTTGGCATTCTTGACACCAAGTACGAAAGTCCCGATTCATGGTTGGCCACCAGTATTTTTGGCGGACCTTCTCATAAGTCGGTCTAGACGCTAAGTGACCTCCAGATATTACGTGGTCGCGATAGGCGTGTAACACGAGTCCTGTGAGGGCTTGTGGCAACACTAATTGGTCACTAAACGTACTGCGCATGCGGAGGTGGCACGGTAAATACGATTTGAACAGCAACCCATCGCGTATAGAGTAGTACGACATGGAAGTTGTTGTTTCATTATCGGGTAGACGAGGGTCTTGTTTTGTAAGGTAGTCGACATATGTGCCATATTCAAGAGCTTGTTTCTCACGCAAGACAACGCGCTCTGTATCGAGTTAGAATTTCAACCATATCTGGCTCCCCTGGCTTCCCTGAAAAAGCGATCTCGTTCGGGAGGTCGTTCTGAGCAGCCTCTTCGTCGACGCCAATGAGGACACTAGTCCCTGTCAGAGACAGAGGCCGGTGCTCTGGCAGTATTCTCCCACTGCCAAGGGTGGCTATTTCCTTTCGTGAGATGTAACGAAGAGAGAGGTAGAAAAAGAGTGTGACCAGAGGGTTGAGAGGGGCGAGCCGGAGGCTCCCCCATCTCTTCCCTCGGCAAGCGGCCATGGACTTCGGAAGAGACAAATCTCCTCGGTGCTGTACTTGCCACTTCTCCCGATGGCAAGTTCCCCCGAGGAATCATATCTTCCGATACTTTGTATGTGCACAAATGGTTGGCTATATAATCCGACAGGTAAGGTGTCCTCCACAAAAGTGTGCAATGAGAAAGTATATTATGACTACTGCGATCGCAGCTATGTTGCTAGCAATCGCACGCGTATGTCCCAAAGTGCATGTTGTCTACAGCGGCTTGCTGTCACGCACGTCTTGAACTCGATACTCGCACGTATGTTTCCACGCGTAGTACACGGGGTTTTACTGTCATGTACATCTCGAACTCAATCCTCGCGCGTATCCGGGCCTCTGAAACGTGCTAAGAATGAAATGTTCATATGGTCCGTGCACAACAATTTGTCCAATCACGTTTGGTGCGATAGCTTTTTTTTGAAAAAAAATTGGAACGTGAAACAACGATGGTCGTGACCGCCTCGTCGAGATACGTCGATAGCCGCAGAGTTTTTTTTTTTCTGGTGACATGCAACATTTTTGACCAAAATCATACACGGAGCCCCCCAGAATGCAGTATACCTCCCCTATGTCATCACGGAACCCCCCTAATCGTTCCCTGGAGGGACCCCCCCCCCCCCCTCTCTTACTGCCTGCTTGATACACCATGGACACCTCACGTTCGCACTTTGCAGACACCACGCATAACTGTTGAATAAACAATACTTCATCGTAAAAAACACCCAATAATGCATACAGAGACACACACATCACGACGCAGTGTTCTCGGCCTCCTTCTCCTCTCCCCCCTCCTTCTCTTCCTCCCTCTGCTTGTTCTTCCACGCTTTGAATGCCCTTTTGGCCCCCCTCGTGGAGAGGGTTCGGCATTCCTGCGAAGCCGCCAACGCCTTCGCCGCCGCGGCGTCCTTTTCCGCTTGTGTTTTTCCTCGCCCCGCTGCCTCCAAAACCGCATCCCCCCTTCGGGTGGCTTCTCGGTGCGTGTGCCACTCCTTGAGTTCGCGGTTCTTGAGGTAGCCCACCATCCCGTCGTCGTACGCTTCAATGTATAGCCACACCACCCTGCTCCACGCGCGGATGTGTTCCAAAGGCACCCCACTCAACGCCCTCGGCAGAATCTTNATCTTGAGCATGTGGGTGAGGGAGTACTCGCAGTGAAGCCGAAGGACGTGCTTGACGTATCCCCAGTACCGCTCAATGGCATTGAGCTCACCGTGGTACTTGGGAAGGAAGATGCACACGTGACCGGCGTCCTTGAAGATCTGCTGGACTTTGTTGAGCTGGGCCTTGAAAGCCCCCAGGTCGGAGAAGACCCTTTCCATGCAGCATCGCTGCCTCCTTGCGGCCGCCCTTCCCTCTGCCGCGGGGCCTTCGGCAGGAGAACTCTGCTGCTCCCGCCGCGCTTGCTCTAGAACCCTCTCACGCTGCTCGCCGCCTTTGTTGAATGCTGCGATCGCTTGCCGTGAGGCCGCGTTGTCGGCCTTGCACTTGTTGCAGCACTTGACGAGCCCCTTCGCCCTCTCGCCGTCAAGCC